ATTGCATAATTATCTATACATGTCAATTTAAATATTATACATATTTATAATTAATATGATACACACATATAGTATTTAAAAGTATATGATTCTTTTAATTAAATACATGTTGTATTCATTCAATGTGTACATTCTCCTCCTGTATGAATGAAATTAGTATCTCTCATCGATAATAGATATTAAAATAATATTTATAAAATATATCTATCATTTGATAAAGTATACATTTCTTGTATTGAATCATATATATTAATATCTTCCTTAGAAAATTAAAAATCGTGGGAATTATTGTACAAGTGCTTGAAATAAAAATTGACTTACCTTAAATCTTCAGTGATGATTACGAGATGACGATGAATATAAAGAAACACTGTTTTTAAAAAATAAAACCTAGAAACATTACATATTTTGTATTGTTAGAGTTTATATTTTAAAATACAAAGCATATTAATGATTGTCTCGTTCATATAAATAATTAATAATTGTTAATCTTCATTTTATGTATTATATGTGTAAAAACTTTTCTCCGTTGTTTAACAATTTTTCTCTTGATTACTAATTAACTTTTGCTGTTGTTGTTGTTGTTGTAATTTAATTGATAGCTTTTTCGCCATTTGTACTATCTGTTACACATAAAAAAAAAAAATAATAATAACATAAAATATGAGAAAAGACAAATCTAATAAATCACCTGCAAGTCAACATCGATAACAGCCATAATATCGTTCAAAGCCGATAATATTTCCGAAGCTTCTGTGGTCTTTCCAATGGCATCAAGAATTACAGCATAATTAATGAGTACTAATGGATCTTGAGGGGACAAAGAATGAGCCTTGTCTAAAGCTTTTTCAGAACCTTCTAGGTCATCGAGTCTTTTAAGAGCCACTGTTAAAAGTGCATTCTTGAATTGATAAATAACGATAAATCTTGTTATATGTGTTTATAAATATCCTAATATTTTGTATGTCAATTTTAATATAATAAAAGTCATACCAAAAAAGAAAACATATTAATCATAATGCACTTACATCCAAGTAAAAGATACGGCATTGGATTCTTTGATGCTGCATTGACAGCAGCGCATAAATAAATTGCAGCTGATGCTGGTTGTCCAGTTGTAAGAAAGACTACACCCAAATTATAAACTGGTAAGAATGCTAATGGGTTCAGATAATGAGCTCTTTTTAAACAACTAATAGCCTGAAATTTAATAAAAATCTATTCATATTATATCTTTTTGATTTTTTTTAATAGTTTTATTTCGAATATTTTTCTGTAATTAATATACAATTGTATTACTTACAGCAACGAATTTTTGCTTTCCATAAAAGCACATACCAACATTGTTCCAAAGAGCCGACGATTCGGGCGTTAATTGAGCCGCTAATTTATATTTAGACAATGCTACGTCGTATTCACGATTTTTCTGAAAAATAAAAGAAAAAAAAAGTGGAAAGAAATTTAATTGTCAATTATCGAACGAAACTCAATACCGTTCATCAATGGACATTTATCTGAAATCTATAATGAAATTTCCCTCCAATCTAACGAAAGAAATCATATACTAATGTTACTTTAATTATTGTCTACCTGCACGAACATACGTGTATTTATATCTTGACATTAGATTTCTCTATATCTTAAAAAAAGTAAATTTATTCTTGAAAAAGAATATTTTTATATTATCTTAAAATTTCAATAACGTATAACTACTATCTTTTAATAATCTCATGGCTTGCAATTAGATTGATTTCATATAATTACCAATTATAATGCTTGATTTTTACCATAAACATAAAAATAATAATTATCTGTTATTTTTATTCGACTCACTTGCATTATATAGGCAATTGGCAAAAGAGCTTTCGAACAATTAGACGTGTGAGCTAAAGTTATTCCAAATTGTTGAAATGCTCTTTGAAAGTCTCCTATTCTTAGATATAACAAACCTAATTCTGTAGATACTGTCACGCTCTCAGGACTTCCACTAAATTAACGAATAATTTAATGTCGGATTAATTAAAATTCGATTAAAATACCAATGAAATTATATCATTATTTTCATTATTGATTAAAACATACTTTAATGCAGCAATATACATATTTTTAGCTTCTACTATTTGATCTTCCATCAGGTGCACTCTTGCAAGAGCAAGATAGGGTAATTCATTTTTCGTTAATTCGATCGATCTCTTAAATTGTTTTTTCGCTTCTTGTAATTGATCTAACTTTACATAGCATTCTCCTATAAAAAAAATGGGATTTGATTCAATAACGTTCCTTTCATCCGCACGATACAAAAACAATTAAAAAAATACAAAAATCTAATGAATAATAATTAATAAACAATCATAAAAACATACTATACACTTTATATATTTAATTTATTAATTAATTTAATTAATAATTACCAAGACTATAATATATTTCCCAATCGGGTAAGATACTTATTTTTTCCGCTTCCAAATATGCTTCAACCGCACGCTTATGGCTACCCATTATCAATCTAAAAGAAATACTTAAAATAATAAAATTCTACTTATACGAATGAGAGATAATAAATATGATCGTGTAAAAAAATAAAATAGTTCTTGAAATTTATATAAAAAGAAATATACAAGTACTCACAAGGATTTAGCTATTTGTTTAACGTTATTAACGTTAGATGAATTTACATTGTAAGCTGCTTGAAAACTGTCTAAAGAATCTTGAATTTTACCTTCTTTTCTCAAAATAAGACCCTATGAAATTAAAAATTAAAATAATATTATTATGAAAAAAAAAAAAGATCGAGAGACAATCGACAATAATATCAAAAAACTTACCTTTAAGTAATTAGCATATTCATTATGACCATTTGATTTTATTAATTCTTCCTCAATAAGAATTTTACATATCTTATGTTCGCGTCTCGTGTAATGACGGTGCAATAACCAATTACGAATTTCTGTTGATGGTATCTCCACGACTAAATAAATTTAAATAACAATTAATTTCTTCTTACATTGACATCTCCCGTGAATGTATTGTAATTTTATTACTTTATATGTATGACCTAATTAATAATAATTACTATAAATAAACTAATTTATTTTTAATTTTGCAATTAAAACTACTTTCATACATTATAATTGCCGGCTGAATTAATATTTTATATATAAAGATAGTTAATATACAATTATAATATATAGAAAATATGTAACAAATGAAAAATTCGAAAATTATCGTATTTTTGGATTATTTGAATTTTTGTTAGTTATGTATCTCCTTAGTAACAAATATAATACCTTTCTTCGTTCTATCATCTCTCAATCGTTGTGAAACTGTTGGTTGTTGAATGCGTCCGTTGCTCAGCGCATTGTTTGCCATTATCACTATACTACTACGTTTATTTAAAGCTCCTTTGCCGATAATGTATGTAGTTAATAGCTAGTAGTCATACTACTCGAATACCATTCGTATAATCGAAGAATCTGTTGTGTTAGCCGTAACTCTGGTAACCATTAAATTCTAAATATTTAGACACAAATTATAGATCGAGAAGATACATTTTATAAAATATAAAAAATATCAGGTAATATATGTAAATTTATTTTTATTTAAGAAAACTAATAATTTTTATTTATATCTTTCTTTAATAAATATAATTCTGTTTATATTCTTTTTAATTCATGATTATTTTTATCTGTTCAATCAATACTGAATGGGATATACAACAAAAATTATTATTTTAGTATTCTATATGCTATTTATTTCTTTTTGTTTTTATCTTTACTATAATAAATATTATACAACTTATTGTTATATAGTAAATATTTTAATTCATATTCTACAAGCAGCGCCAACGTGGCGATAAACGAAACTACGGAACGTCATCTGAAAATTAATATGGCCAGAAACGGTTGTCATTACGTGATAACGAGATATAAATGTTGAAATAACAGTGAAAGTACAAGGAAATCGTAAAGGATATTTTAAAATATAAATTTGTTATTGTAATAAGATAAATAAAATAAATACGTTATTTAGTATAATAATAATAATAATTTAAAAAAAAATATGCTTATCGACTTCTCATTTCAAGATGTAAAAATAGAATTTATTCTAATACGATAGATTGATCGTGAAGTGTTTTGAAGAGCAGATGTTATCTGCTTGCGGTAAGTTTCTTATCAATAAGTCATTCATTTTATTATCAAATTAAATATTCTAGCAAAAAATATTTTTTTATTTTTATAGGTTATTTTCAAACGGTATAACTTCGTAATGTATATATACACGCACAGTTATTCCACCTGTTACCTACATGCACACTACTATCTAAAATTATGTCAGTTTCATTATTTCTATATAACAAATATTCAAACGTAATTGATGTTAAACGTATGTCACGTTTTTTATATTACATAAATGTACAGTTGTTCACATTAAGCCTTGAAATACTTCCTTGTTTACTCTCATATATGCATTTTTACATTGTTTTATTAGACTGTATTATAGACCGCATATGTTACATTTATTAAATTGATTAATAGTATAGTGTTACATTAAATAGGTATATCTCTTATACGAATACACAACGTGTAAATGATGTATACAATTTTTTATTTCATTTATTTTCAATAGTAATATATATATAATCCTTCAAAATTTTCTTTAAAAATATTTTAATTATCTAATTTTAGTGACCGAGATAAATATGAGCCCATAAATGTAAAATAGTATTAACTATTTTACAAAATGAGTTGTTCTGTGGAATTAAGACAACGCAGACAACAGGGGATGACGGAGGATCCTCATAGGCTTGCAGCAATGATGAATAAATCGCAGAGACTTGTTTTAGGACTTTTGGTTTTATTGTTGGTTGATATTATTTGGGTTTCAAGTTCCGAATTGACAAAAGTAAGATTGTTGTTTAACGACTGTACGATAACTTATTTGTGGTTCTAAATATTTTATACAGATTTATTTTGACACTCAACGATAATTGTATTTTATACAGTCATAAATTTATATTTCAGTATATTTATAAAGAAGCAGCTTTTGAAAAACCATTTTTTAGTACATATATAAAAACATCTATGTTTACTCTTTATTTACTTGGTTTATGCTTTTGGCCCCCATGGCGGGATCAATGTAATAGGCCAGCCACTTATATGGTATGCATACAAACAAAAAATATTTTTGTAGAAACTTTTATTGATTGTGCAGCGCTTACCTAAATGGTAATTTGTTGTTTTCAAACATTTAGTTCATAGACCCAAATGTCGAAGATGATAACTTCTACACAGAAGCTAATACAAGTTTGGTAAAAATAATTTGATATCTTCATAAATTTATAGTTGCTTTAAATATAAAACATTAATTATATCCAAATTGATACTATTTTAGAGTGATCCAACATTTGTACCAATAAAAACACCAGATCATTGTGAGCGTTCTTCTGGCACGGAAAGTGACGATTCTTCCATTCGATCTGTAAGATTTAGCAAATTAGCTGAAGTCAGACATATGTCAGAAACTGACGCTACAGAAGCTTTACTAGCCAGACTAAGTTATCAAGCAAGCATCAGAGCTGGGGAACATGCTCGACGACAAGCTAATAAATTTTCTGTTCAAAAAGTAGCGAAAATAGCACTTATGTTTTGTTTATTTGTAAGTAA